TATTAGTTTTCTGGTAGCATCTTTAGGGCTCTCTATGTATAGTATCATGTCATATGCAAACGTGACAGCTTTACATCTTTTCCGATTTGGATTCCTTTTATTTCTTTTTCTTCTCCGATTGCTGTGGCTAAAACTTCCAAACCCATGTTGAATAATAGTAGTCATAGTGGGCAAACTCGTCTTGTTCCTGATCTTAGTGGAAACGGTTTCAGTTTTTCACCATTGAGGATGATGTTGGCTGTGGGTTTGTCTTATATATGGCATTTATTATGTTGAGGAAAGTTCCCTCTAAGCCTAGTTTCTGGAGGGTTTTTATAATAAATGGGTGTTGAATTTTGTCATAAGCTCTCTCTGCATCTATTGAGATGATCTTATGATTTTTCTCCTTCAATTTGTTAATATGGTGTATCACATTGATTGATTGGCGTATATTGATAGTCCTTGCATTCCTGGGATAAACCCCACTTGATCATGGTGTATGATCCGTTTAAAGTGCTGTTGGATTCTGTTTACTAGTATTTTGTTGAGGAATTTTGCATCTATATTCCTCAATGATATTGGCCTGTAGTTTTCTTTCTTTTTGACATCTTTGTCTGCTTTTGGTATCAAGGTGATGGTGGCCTCATAGAATGAGTTTGGGAGTGTTCCTCCCTCTGCTATATTTTGGAAGAGTTTGAGAAGGATAGGTGTTAACTCTTCTCTAAATGTTTGATAGAATTCCCCTGTGAAGCCATCTGGTCCTGGGCTTTTCTTTGTTGGAAGATTTTTAATCACAGTTTCAATTTCCTTACTTATGCTTGCTCTGTTCATATTTTCTATATCTTCCTGGTTCGGTCTTGGAGGGTTATACCTTTCTAAGAATTTGTCCATTTCTTCCAGTTTGTCCATTTCATTGGCATACAGTTGCTTGTAGTAATCTCTCATGATCCTTTGTATTTCTGCAATGTCAGTTGTTACTTCTCATTTTTCATTTCTAATTCTATTGATTTGAGTCTTCTCCCTTTTTTTGCTGATGGTTTTTTGGCTAATGGTTTATCAATTTTGTTTATCTTCTCAAGAAACCAGCTTTTAGTTTTATTGATCTTTGCTATTGTTTTCTTTGTTTCTATTTCATTTATTTCTGCTCTGATATTTATGACTTCCTTCTGCTAAATTTGGAGGTTTTTTCTTCCTCTTTTTATAATTGTTTTAGGTGTAAGGTTATGTTGTTTATTTGAGATGTTTCTTCTTTCTTAAGGTAGGATTGTAATGCTAAAAACTTCCCTCTTATAACTTATAACTCTTATAACTGCATTTGCTGCATCCCATAAGTTTTGGGTCATCGTGTTTTCACTGTCATATGTTTGTAGGTAGTTTTTGATTTCCTGTTTGATTTCTTCAGTGATCTCTTGGTTATTTAGTAGTGTATTGTTTAGCCTCCATGTGTTTGTATTTTTTACAGATTTTCCTGTAACTGATATATACTCTCATAGTGTTGTGGTCAGAAAAGATACGTGATATGATTTCAATTTTCTTAAATTCACCAAGGCTTGACTTGTGACCCAAGATATGATCTATCCTGGAGAGTGTTCCATGAGCACTTGCGAAAAATGTGTATACTGTGGTTTTTGGATGGAATATTCTATAAATATCAGTGAAGTCCATCTTGTTTAATGTATCATTTAAAGCTTGTGTTTCCTTATTTATTTTCATTTTGGATGATCTGCCCATTGCTGAGAGTGGGGTGCAAAAGTCCCCTACTATGATTGTTACTGTCAATTTCCCTTTTATGGCTGTTAGTATTTGCATTATGTATTGAGGTGCTCCTATGTTGGGTACATAAATATTTACAATTCTTATATCTTCTTCTTGGATTCATCCCTTGATCATTATGTAGTGTCCTTCTTTCTGTCTTGTAATAGTCTTTGTTTTAAAGTCTATTTTGTCTGATACGAGAAATGCTACTCCAGCTTTCTTTGAGTTCAATTTGCTTAGAATATCTTTTTCTATCCCCTCACTTTGAGTCTGTATGCGTCCCCAGGTCTGAAGTGAGGCTTTTTGTACACAGCATATGTACGGGTCTTGTTTTTGTTTCCATTCAGCCAGTCTATGTCTTTTGGTTAGAGCATTTAGTCCATTTACATTTAAGGTAATTATCGATATGTATGTTCCTATTCCCATTTTCTTAATTGTTTTGGGATTATTATTGTAGGTCTTTTCCTTCTCTTGTGCTTCCTGCCTAGAGAAATTCCTTTAGCATTTCTTGTAACGCTGGTTTGGTGGTGCTGAATTCTCTTAGCTTTAGCTTGTCTTTAAAGGTTTTAATTTCTCCTTCAAATCTGAACCAAATCCTTGCTGGTAGAGTAGTGTTGGTTGTAGATTTTTCCATTTCATCACTTTAATATGTTCTGCCACTCCCTTCTGGCTTGCAGGGTTTCTGATGAAATATCAGCTGTTAACCTTATGGGGATTCCCTTGTATGTTATTTGTTGTTTCTCCCTTGCTGCTTTTAATACTTTTTCTTTGTGTTTAGTTTTTGATAGTTTAATTAATATGTGTCTTAGCATCTTTCTCCTTGGATTTATCCTGCATGGGACTCTGTGCTTCCTGGACTTGATTGACTATTTCCTTTCCCATATTAGGGAAGTTTTCAACTATAATCTCTACAAATATTTTCTCAGTCCCTTTCTTTTTCTATTCTTCTATGACCCCTATAATTCTCATGTTTGTGCATTTAATGTTGTCCCAGATGTCTCTGAGACTGTCCTCAATTCTTTTCATTCTTTTTTGTTTATTCTTCTCTGCATTATTTAATTCCACTCTTTTATCTTCCAGGTCACTTATCCATTCTTCTGCCTCAGTTATTCCGCTATTAATCCTTTGTAGAGAATTTTTATTTTCTTTTATTGTGTTGTTCATCGTTGTTTGCTCTTTAGTTCTTCTAGGTCCTTGTTAAACGTTTCCTGTACTGTCTTCATTCTATTTCCAAGATTTTGGATTATCTTACTATCATTATTCTGAATTCTTTTTAAGATAGACTTCCCATTTCCTCTTCATTTGTTTGGTCTGGTTTGTTTTTGCCTTGCTCCATCATCTGCTGTGTTTTTCTCTGTCTTCTCATTTTGCTTAACTTACTGTGTTTGGGTCTCCTTTTCACAGGCTGCAGGTTCATAGTTCCCATTGTTTTTGGTGTCTGCCCTAAGTGGCTAAGGTTTGTTCAGTGGGTTGTGTAGGCTTCCTGGTCAAAGGGACTAGTGCCTGTGTTCTGGTGGATGAGGCTAGATCTTGTCTTTGTGGTGGGTAGGTCCATGTCTGGTGGTGTATTTTAGGATGTTTGTGACCTTATTATGATTTTAGGCAGCCTCTCTGCTAATGAGTGTTATGTTCCTGTCTTGCTAGTTGTTTGTCATAGGGTGTCCAGCACTGTAGCTTGCTGGTCATTGAGTGGAGTTGGGTGTTGATGGTGAGGTGGAGATCTCTGGGAGATATTTGCTGTTTGATATTACATGGAGCTGGATGGTCTCTGGTGGACTAATGTCCTGAACTTGGCTCTCCCACCTCAGAGGCACAGCCTGACAACTGGCCGGTGCACAAATAGCCTGTTATCCACACAGCTCAGAATAAAAGCGAGAAAAAAAAAATGAAGAAAAAGATAAAATAAATAATATAAAATAAAATGAAATAAAATTAAGTTATAAAAGTTAAGTTATAATAATTATAAAATAATTATTAAAAAATTTTTAAATAAAAAGAAAGAAGAGAGCAACCAAACAAAAAAAAAAATCTACCAATGATAACAAGTGCTAAAAGCTATACTAAAAAAAAGAAAAACAAAAACAGACAGAACCCTAGGACAAGTGGTAAAAGCAAAGCTATACAGACAAAATCACACACATAAGCATACATATGCTAACTCGCAAAAAGAGAAAAAGGGAAAAAAATATACATATCTTTGCTCCCAAAGTCCATCTCCTCAATTTGTGATGATTCATTATCTATTCAGGTATTCCAAAGATGCAGGATAGATCACATTGCTGGTGGAGATTTAATTTGCTGCTCCTGAGGCTGCTGGAAGAGATTTCCCTTTCTCTTCTTTGTTCACACAGCTCCTGGGGTTCAGCTTTGGATTTGGCCCCGCCTCTGCATGTAGGCCACCTGAGGGCGTCTATTCTTCGCTCAGACAAGACAGGGTTAAAGGGGCAGCTGATTCGGGGGCTCTGGCTCTTTCAGGCAGGGAGAGGGAGGGATATGGGAATGTGGGGGAGCCTGTGGCAGGAGAGGCCAGCATGACATTACAACAGCCTGAGGTGAGCCATGTGCTCTCCCGTGGAAGTTGTCCCTGGATTCTGGGACCCTGGCAGTGGCAGGCTGCACAGGCTCCCAGGAGGGGAGGTGTGGATAGTGACCTGTGCTTGCACACAGGCTTCTTGGTGGCTTCAGCAGCAGCCTTGGCATCCCACGCCCTTCTCTGGGGTCTGCGCTGATAGCCGCACCTCGCGCCTGTCTCTGGAGCTCAGTTAAGCAGCGCTCTGTATCTCCTCTCCTTGCTCACCACAAAACAAAGAGGCAAGAAAAATTCTCTTGCCTCTTTGGCAGCTCCAGACTTTTTCCAGGACTCCCTCCAAGTTAGCTGTGGCACACTAGCCCACTTCAGGCTGTGTTCATGCAGCAAACCCCAGTCCTCTCTCTGGTATCTGACCTCCAAAGCCCAAGCCTCAGCTCACAGCCCCTGCCCGCTCCAGGGGGTGAGCAGACAAGCCTCTCGGGCTGGTGAGTCCTGGTTGGTACCAATCCTCTGTGCAGGGATCTCTCTTCTTTGCCCTCTGCACCCTGTTGCTGCTCTCTCCTCTGTGGTTCCAAAGCTTCCCCCCTCTGCCACCCAGTCTCCACCTGCAAAGGGGCTTCTTAGTGTGTGGAAACCTTTTCTCATTCACATCTCCTTCCCAGACGTGCAGGTCCTATCCCTATTGTTTTGTCTGTTTTTTCTTTTTCCCTACCCAGGTATGTGGGGAGTTTCTTGCCTTTTGGGAAGTCTGAGGTCTTCTGCCAGCGTTCAGCAGGTGTTCTGTAGGGGTTGTTCCACATGTAGATGTATTTCTGATGTATTTGTGGGGTGGAAGGTTATCTCCATGTCCTACTCTTCTGCCATTTTCAGGAATCGGGATTTTTGTCTCCAGTGCAGGTAAGGCAGAATCTTCCTGACATCAGTATGGATTTTAAACACCAGTGAGTATGAAAGGACCACAGGTTTTTCTGCAGTTCTTTTCTAGCATTTGCCAGCCCCCATGCCTAGACTGATTTGAATTTCTCCCTGTGCCATTTATCTTCCCACTTCCCCTTCCTGCCTTCCACCACCCTTTGATGAATGGGTTTTTGTAATTCTAGCTGTTGTATTTTGTGGACTTGTTATTTTTGTTTTTCTGTGAAGTACATATATTGGATGTGGGAGGTAAAGGAGGCTCTGCTGCTCCTGGTCACTCCCTTTATAGCCATCACTGTCTTGTTTCTTGTAACTCAGGTTACATTTGTTCTCTTGCTGCACTACAAGGAAAACAAGCCTGAAGAGATGGAACAGGAGTTAAGACCTCACAGCTAGATCCTCACAGCTAGATCTGCTGGGTTTTGAGAAGTGATTTTCTTTCTTCCCCTTCTAGCGGAAAAAGATTTTTTCACGGGTACATTTAACGTGCCCCCAACTATAGGGAGGTACCAATTTTGTACAAGTGCCATTGCAACACAGAATGCTCAGAGAACCTGAACTTTTAAACTCTGGAGGTCTGAACTTTACTGTTGGCCACTGATGGGTCTTTCTGGTATTGCAAAGGATATTGGGTGCTGCAGATAGGAACTGAAATGGTAAACTTATTAAACCCATTAAACCTGAGGGAAAAAAATTCACTGAATAAATGATAACTTCTCTGTGCTGCTGTTTTCTCACTTTTTTAGAACTAAATGAGATAAAATATGTAAATTGCCTAGCATGGAGTGTATATCCAATAAGTATTAATTCTTCCATTTCCTCATTAACTAAAGAATAAGAATGCATCCAAAGTCACATAAGAATCACTTGCAAAGAAGGCTGGAATTCAAATGATTCGATATTTAAAATCTCTCCATGGATATATCTTAGGCAAACACAATACTTCTCACATCGTGAAAAAATAATGCTATCTAGAACTAATTCTTTGAGAGCCAGGGATGTCAAGTGTAATATGAATTCAAATATGCATATTCCCCAGTTTATTTGTGAAAGGAAGAAAAAGAGAATGAGAGGAAAAAGGGGAAAGCATAAAGTGATTGGCTAAGTTGTAGAAAGAGGCACAGTCTCATCTCCGAGGCCTTCCTCATGTCTCCCTTCCCCCAGGCACATTTTTCAGATTTTTTGCTTAAACATTTGATTCTGCAAAAGGAGCAAGCAGCTGCTTTACTATAATCACATTCTCTCTTGATTTTTACATAGATGTATGAAAACTCAAAGAAATGTCCAAAACAATCAACCCCTCCAACACAGAGCTTGTAAGCTCATAGGTTCACACATGCGCATGTGCACAACTGACAGCCTCTCTAGCTAAAGAGACATGAGACGATAATTTTTAAATGAATAAAGAAAAAAGATGGGAGATAGATAGATACAAGCAGAAGTATAGTATTAATATATACTTCCCACTCAACTAGACTAGTACCAAGTGTGTTACCCTAATTTAACCCTTTGTTTTCCACAGCTGAAGAAAATGATCAGTTTTATTTTTGAGAGAGAGAACTGTTTCCTGCAGTAGTAGAAAAATAAAATAAAGAGAAAAGCAAAGAATTGTGGTATTATCCGGGGCACAGTTTCTATTTGTGAAACTTTTGTCCTTATAACCCCATAGAAGAACCTCCTTTTGCAGCTAAAGTAAGGCCGTGTGTGTGTGTGTGTGTGTGTGTATGTGTTGAGGAAGGCTTATTACTATGGGAAAAATATTTTTCTTAATTTTCTCCTCAAAATGAGTCAAAGAATAATATCCTAGTTTGTATAATATAAAGTTAAATATCTTTGTAGAAAATATAATAATGTAATTTTCAAAAGACCTCATTTCTAGGCACAAAAGTTCATACACTGTAGGAAACAAAGGCATGGAGGCATTTTTGAACTTTTGACTTTTCATTTTCTTCTTCCTAGCCCATATCTCAATGGCAAATCTAAATAGACTAAAGACTCCAACTGCCGATGCAACAGGTGATAGTTTTATATGAAGCCTGTGAAAGAACTTTGTCCCTTTTTTCTTTGGTTCAAAGTGCACAAAGGGTGGTGCTATAGAAGCAGAAAGACTTTATAACCCAACAATTTCCATGTTACTTGGAACTGTTGCATCTCTGAGGCACATGGTTGTCTGGAGCTAAAGATGACTTTGTTAATATTAATAATCAGAAAGTAACTTTATAACTGGAAGAACTCCAACAGTCTGATTTTAGGAATCTAGTAGCTGACTCACCCTTCTTGTTTAAGCTATCAACTTCTGAGGAATTACTAGGTTGTGACAAGAGTTTGCATAATATAGCTTACCTGTTCAGGATTTTGCACTACATATTGCCTAATAGTGGTCTGCGGATATGTAGTGACTTTCACTGTTGGAGAATGGAGTTCCTGTGAAGAAAAGATAAAAGCTGCATATAATCATAGTTATTTAGTGACCTTGCAGCCAGAATAATAGGGAGCAATTTTCAGAGTGAAATTTTAAAAACCATTTACATAAATGATGACATATGAATTTATGTTTTGGTTAATTTCAGTCTGAAAAACATACATGAAGGAGTGTGTTTATGGGCTCAGCACCATGCTAGGTATTTCTATTATACTCATTGCATAGTAATTCATCACACATTCCAAACTATATTTGATGAGAGTTTCAAAATATTTGTTTCATTGTAAATGCCCCCACATGATTAGAAGAAAATATAGCTTAATATTTATTAATCAGAGTTTCTGTTTGGAAAGGACATCCTATATTTTAAAAAATGAAAGGAGACGCAAAGAGAAAACTGTGTGTGTGTACACTTAAACATTTAAATCTTCAGTGTGGTGGTGGGCGAGGGCCATAAATAATGTTAAAAGGGAGACAAAACACAAGAACAAAGTCATTTGTAAATTTTGGATGGAAAAAGAGTGGTATCATTAATATAAAGAGAGTTTTATACCTCGGTGAGAAAAAAAATCTTCACACTAATAGAAAAATGAGCAAACGGTATGAAAGCAGAAAAGAAGAAAAGCAAACGATTAACAAACAACAAAAATTATTCAAACAAACTAAGAATCAAGTAAACATAACAAAAGAATACCATATTTTAACTGAGAAAATGTTAAAATAATAATGCTGATGAGGGCACAGTAGGAGGAGCATTTTCCTGTGGAGAGGGGAAAGATTAAATAATCATGCATAAGCTGAAATATGTAGCCATCGAAATAATGATCTTGATAATACAAATTTACATTAAAAACTCATAACATTATGTAAGATTAAATGAGAATGAAGATATAAAACTGCATATATGGTATGATCTTAATTTTTTATTTGAATGGAAGAAAACACAACAAAATGCTAAGAGTACCATCTCTGGGTAGGGGATGGGTCATGAGTGAATTTTATTTTTTCTTCTTTATGTTCTTTTGTATTTCCAAATTTTCTAGAAAAAACATTTTTTGTCAGAAGTAAAATTTACAGCAAACTTAATTATAGAGCCATTTATTATGAAAAATAACAGTAAATGCAATTTTATGACTGGATTTCAGTGTAGTGAACAGCTCTGTGATTTAAGTAGACTTACTTTTCTGAGCTAATCCTATCTTGGTGGTCCATCCCATGGGGCTCCACTTTTAACTCAGTTGTAACCTTTATTCCACTGTCCTATGTTTTGTTAGTGTGTGACCCATGTTAGTCTGAGGTCTTTGGGAGTAGTGATTGGTTCCTATTCACCTTTGTGCAATATTTGGTACACACTTGGCAGTCAGCAAATGTTCGCTGAATAAATGCATGACTCTAACTGACCTAGCTCTAGGCCAGGCCGAATTGGTACATGGTAGGCAAACTTTTCTTTGATAATCTTACTTGTTCTGCATAATATCACCTTTTCCTCACTGTACCCCAGGTCTAGAGACCACCTTTTGTCCATTTGTCCCTTCACTATTCAAGTTCACATCGTGACACTTCAGTCTGGGCAGGCATGTTTTCTCAGAACAGTATCTTTCTCCCTCCTATCTTCCAAATCCTGCAGCCTTTATACTCCCCTCCTGTGTACTAACAAACTTAAGATGTCATATGGTTTATTTACTCAGAATTTACTTTTTAATATGTGGGACTAGCTCATTAAACACATATTTGTTAATATGGTATTTAATTATTATTACAGGTACCTACCTTTTGGAGATATAATGTGTACACTCAAAAATAATCTTAAAAGTGGGATTATTAGGTCACAAAGGTTAAGGGAACTTGAACTTGTGTGTCTTTCAAATCATGCACCTTGGAGAAGGGCTAGTTCTGACCCTGCAAGTTATTCTCTCTGGATATAAATGTACAGTATTATCATTCACAAAGCCACGTCCTCACTCAATCCAAGATCTAGGTACTTCATTTCTGCTCAGATCAAAGACCCTTAAAATATACATAATCAGTGGGAGATCCTTGGAGAAAAATAAACTGCACTCAAACAAAAGCAATCAGATTGAGTAGATAATGAAATTGAAAAACCTCAATCCACAGCACTTGCTTCACATTCCTATAATGGGCTGAGCTGACTTTCATATGTAAGGCTCTCCTTTCCAGTTTTATGTTCCTGAATTTTTGTGAATGTGTAAAGTTTTATGAGGGCCTAAAGATCACTTAAACAGACAAGCAAGGTTTACACAAAAAGAAAGTAATCTGATCTAACCCATATCTTATTTTACCTGTTCAATATTTGGGGTTATATGTACAGTGCTTGGGGCACAAGTAGATGTTTTCAGAGTTGTAGAATGAAGTTCCTGTTGATAGAAACAAAAGGGGGTTCAGAAACTGTTACTGAGCAGTGTCGTTTAAATGTCTTAGGTTCTTGGGCTTCCCTGGTGGTGCAGTGGTTGAGAGTCTGCCTGCTGATGCAGGGGACACGGGTTCGTGCCCTGGTCCGGGAAGATCCCACATGCCGCGGAGCGGCTGGGCCCGTGAGCAATGGCTGCTGAGCCTGCACGTCCAGAGCCTGTGCTCTGCAACAGGAGAGGCCACAACAGTGAGAGGTCCACGTACGGCAAAAAAAAAAAAAAAAAAAAAAAAAAAGTCTTACGTCCTTAAGGTATTATTATTTCCTTTATTTTTATAATAATCCAAATTTGTCAGAAATAAGAACGTTATTTAGTGCTTTCTTAGATGATGTCCATCTCTCCAAAGAGCACATTACCAATTCCTTTGTCAGCATTGCAAGTAATCTAATGAAAAATAATTTCTAGAATGCTTTCATAACAGTACATACTTTTTTCACTTTTAGTTTGCATCCTTTTTTTTGCTTTTTTGAGAACTCGCCTGATGTATCCCCCGATGTTATTGTATGTCTGCAATTAACAAGATTTAAAGTTTAACAAACAAAAACATTAAATGTAAAAAAATCTGAAACCAATATAGGAAACTACCTTTGAAAACTCAACTAAGACTACTGCTCTTATATTACTTCAAGCTGATTTTTAATTATGTTTCATGTGATCTGCTTCTAGTTTAATTTCAAAGAGTAGATTCTAATGTTAAAGAATGATCCATAAAGATGAGAGTATGATTTTTGATAATGTTTAGATAAAATGTTCACTCTATCGATTATGCTGGCATTCTTAACATTTTTCCCAGATCAGCAAATTGCATAACTTTATCAGTGTGTAAAGAGTCGACAGCATTACTCAATTTCTTCATACATTACTATAATTTACAACCAATTGACACAACTCCAGGATATATTCCTAAAACGATAAAAATAGTGTTTTCTTCAGATCAAGGAGGTATTAAAAATCAGAATCACAGACTTACAAGGGAAACACTGACAGACTCATATCAAAATATAGCTATAATGTAGGTGTAACGTGCTGTTCTTAAAACAGGACTGTGCATTTACTCAGACTGCCAAATGTTCTGCATGCTGTGGTTTTCCTTTTGGTTCAACTTGTAACATTTTCATCCTTCCTCCCTCTGTTACATCAACAGCAATACTGCAAGCTTAATGTTTCTAGGCAGACTTTGAATAGGTTCCCAGATTTCCTGCTGGTAGCTGAGGATAATTGCTCAGACAAATGCACAGAATTAAAGACTTTAGACCAAAAATGTACATGTTCTTCAGTTTAGGAAAATGGTTACAAATACAACCAAGTGCAGGTGGATTTGGCCCAGAGATCCAACAGGAATAAGTTCAGAAAGACAAAAAATGTGATTTTTAGTTATATAACAGTGCATGAATACACTCTAACATAAAAATTTATAAAGTCAAAAATCTTCCCTTAACCATCCTCCCTTCATTCAAATCTCTTACCCATATTTATACATACATGTATAAATAATATTTACTGCTTTTATTATTCTGCAATATAAGCCTAACAATATCTCATATTATAGATTAATGTCTTAATTCATTATTTTAAATTATAGTGTTCCATAATGTTTGTTTGATAGTTTATTTATCTATCTTTTTAAAACTGTTTCCAGGTTTCCACTATGCTGCAAAGAGCATCCTTGTGCAATGTGAGTACTTCTCTAGAATCCCACAAAGTGGAATTACTAGAGCACAGAGTATGTGCATTATTCATTTTAATACATACTGCCCAATTGATTTCTCAAATGGCTATGCCAATTCCACATCCATCAGCAAGTGTAAAATTACTCATGTGTGAAAGATGCTTTTATGAAAACTTTTAGCCTTTTTAGGCTGTAGCTAGTAATACTAGGGTTATTTTGAGAATACAGTTAGTGCACACTGCCTGGTACCTGGTTCTATAGATGGTAGTTCTTTCCTCTTCCCTTTATCCTATTCAAATATGATGACATCAGAAAATTAAACAGAATGAAACTTCACTAGCTATGTGGAGTAGCTTTTAAGATGAAAGAGTGTACTGAGAAGTTTTATAAACTTGCTGAAATTAACCCAAGTAAGAATACACACACATACACAAATATGTGTGTGTGTGTGTGTGTGTGTATGTATCTTACATATTTAAGGCATATATTGATAGGCAGTTACTTTACTCAGATGCCAAGATAGCAGATATTCAAAAGGCAAATTGGTGTATTTACACAAAGACTAGTCTAGTGCTAAAATGAAGAAATTATTCAATCTTCTTATATTTGGAAAGCTGGTACATTAATTCCACAAATTATGCTTTACTTAATTGTTCTGAGCCTTCATTATTAGAATTGATCTAGGCAAATGTGGCTTTTCCCATACAATCCTTATGGAAACGAAGGACAAATGGAATGACTTCAAAAAGTAAAATATTAAGGTGGTAGCTTAATATGGGTCAAAGAGATTAAGACGTATGGCAGTGACCAGAATGAGTTTAAATTACAGCAGTATTAGACTTACCATAAGATGGGAAAAAACCTATCTGAATATAAGGTATATTAATTTCAGAAAAACTTGCTAAAGAAAACCCTTTTCCCCTGAAAGTCTACGGAATTAGGTAAGTAGGGTGAGTAAAGGTCCAAAATGAACATTGTCTTGATGATGGAAGTTACTTTCAGTGGCATCTAGCGCTAGGCAGGATTGCAGCAAGTCATCCCACAAGTAGTCATTGCCTATTCTACAGGAAGTGATCAAAAATGTTTGTGAATGAATGAATGGATGAATGAAGAGGATGTCTTAGTTTTAAAGGCATCTCAGGAATAGAAATCTAAATCTCTCTCTTGATAACCTACATCAATGTTTAATTTTCAGCATCACTCATCTGTACAGAGCTTCCCTAAATCCTTCATGTTGAAATCATTAAATCTAATGAATAGTTACATCTTTTGTACTTATGCCCTCTATGCCATAGCCCCATGTTCCTTATAACAAAATAACTGAAGGCTGGGGAAGGGGTGGTGGTGACTATCATAATATAGTGGAAAGAGTCCTGTGCTTGAAGTCCAGAGCCCTAGGTTCTACTTCTAGTTATACCACTATACCACCAGCCAGTTATGATAATGAACACTCATGCCATCTTCCTGAGCTTGTTTCCTCATGTGAGAAACGGGATGTGGGTATGTTTAAGTGTGGACTGGAGGATCTTTAAGCCTCATTCTATTTCCGACATTCTGTGAATATAAGAGATCACTCCCAGCTTATTTTTCCATACAGACAAGACAATTTCAAATCCTTTCAACTTGTCAGTCTTGTTTTCCTTTGATGAAGATGATAATGACAACTAACACCTATTAAGAGCTTTCTATGCCAAATATATTACATAGATCATCTTATTTAACACTCAGAAAAACTGTCATCAGAAAGGTACTATTATAAAAACCTCACTTTACATATGAGTAAAGTTAGACAAAGATAGGTTAAGTAGCTAGCTGAAGATCACACAGCTAATACTAAGGTGTTGGGATTCCAACTCAAGTAGCATGATGCTACTTAATCACTAAATCCAGAACTCATAACCTTAATCACTATACGTTCCCACACCTATAGCCTGCCTCATTATATTTTCTGTTCAAGTTGTGGAACAAAATTCTACTGTTAGATTTGAGTAATTCCCATAATAGGAGACTAGATATTTGACTCTTTTTATTATTTACTATCAAAAGTAACTTTTTGGTGCCTGAAAACAAGAAATCCACCTATAACTGACCGTGTGAGAGAATAGCCCTGATTAAATATTTTAAACTTCTACAAATACAATAGGGTTTTTTTTAAAGTAGACAGCATTATATATTTAGAGTGTACATACAGAACTCTAAACTTAATAAAACATTGAATTTTTATTTAATTTTCATATCATTTAAGCCCTTTGATTTTGCAGGAAGGCCCTACATTTTCTGATCAAATATTCAACCTAGTATTGAGTCGTTTATTCCTGTGGCTCATATTTGCTAAATACATAAATATTGCCTGTTGGCAACATTCTTTAGGTAGAGTTTTGTTGAAAAATAATTTTGTTTATAATTAGTAGATTTAGGCTTAGTATGAAATCCAAGGGTGTTTTTCCCACGATGACTAAAGTCATTTTCTACTTTGGGAAAGTTGTAGCAGCCCTCTTCCCTCTTCCTCCTCCTCCCCACCTTTTTCCTTCTCCTTCTCCTCCTCACCCTTCTCTTTCCGTTTTTCTCCTCCTTCTCCTCTTATAAGTACATGTGGCATTACCAATTTTAAGATCAGAGTGGATTAAAATCAGTCTGCTTTTCTGGGATAATTTTACAACATCACTTGAGATAATTGTTCATACCTTTGTTTAACCTAAATCCGAGTTGGGATACAGGAATCAGATATCAGAGACTGTATGACATAAATAAGAGTCAAATATATAGATCAGGAATATCCAGTATAGCATGGTGGTTACAAGCATAGACCTAGAACTAGACTGCTTAGATTTAAATCCCAGTTCTACCACATACTAGCTCCATGAACTTGAGCAAGTTACATAGCACTCCTGTGCCTTTGTTACCTCATCAGGAAAAATGGGAATGATATTTGAACATTACTTACTAAAGTTTAAAATTAATTCAGTAGCTTAAGGGACATAGGCAGTTCCAGAGAGGCTATGAAACCCAGATCATGTGCTAAAAGAAAGGGAGGTGCATTTTTATTGAGGAGGGTTATTTCATCATTTTCCTCTATTTAAATATTTACTCCTTCAAAAAGTAAGGTTCTGGGGAAATTATATAAAGGATAGATACAGTCACCCCTCCGTATCCACAGGTTCTGCATCTGCAAATTCAACCAACGAAGGATTGAAAATATAAAAAAAATCTGGAAGTTTCAAAAAGCAAAACTTAAATTTGGTGTGCTCTCTCAACTATTTATATAGTATTTACACTG